AGATCCTTTTCTGCCTCTACACTGACGAGAAGGGAGTTCCCCAGCCTGTAGGTATGGTGCTGGTTCTTCCTCCCCACGTGCAGCACCTTGCACTTGTCGGTGTTGAATCCCATCCTATTCTCATCTGCCCACCCCTGTAACCTGTCTAGGTCTGATTGCAGCCTCAAAAAGCTTACCTAGGACCAAGACTGATTGGCCTATAGTTACCTGGGTCCTCCTTCCTCCCTTTTTTGAAAATGGGGACCACAGTGGCCCTTTTCCAGTCCTCTGGCATCTCACCAGAGCACCACGAGTGCTCATAAAGCTGTGCCAGGGGTCCCGCAATGACCTCAGCTAATTCCCTCACTCTGGGGTGGAGACTGTCAGGACCTGCTGATCTGAACACATCCAGTCCATCCAGAAGTTCCCTGAGTAGGTCCTCTCTGACCTTAGGCCTGGGTGCGCCTCCCTGGGGACCTACGGGTGTCTCAGTGTGTGTGGGGTGGGGGGTGACCCGGTCTCTGCTCAGAAAAATGGAGGCAAAGAAATTGTTAAATAGGTTAGCTTTGGTGTCTGGTGCGATGACCAGATTTCCTAGCGCGTCCTGCAGAGGCTCCACATTACCCAGTACCTTCTTTTTACCCCCGATGTATTTAAAAAAGGACTTCTTGTTGTCCTTGATCCAGGTAGCTAGTCCCAGTTCCATCTCCGCCTTGGCCTTCCTGACTGCCCCACCTACAGCCCTGAGCAACCGAGGTATAGTCCTCCCTGGTGACAGCCCTTCCCTTCCATTGGGTGTACACCTCCTTTTTAGCTAGGAGGCGTTCCCGGATGCTTTTGGTGAGCCATGGGGGCTTTTGCACCCTCTTGCCCCCTTTGATCTGTGTTGGGATTACCTCCCTTTGGGCTTGGAGGATCGCCTCCTTAAGGAATGACCACTCTTCTTGGACACCCAACTCCCCTCCCCTCTGGGACCTGAGTGTCTCCTTGACTGTTCTCCTTATCTCATTGAAATCCGCCCTCCTGAAGTCCAGGGCTGCTGCCTTACTGCAGGCCTTTGCCACCTTGTGCTGGACGGTGAATTCCAGCAGGCGATGATCGCTGCCTCACCTGTGGCCAGGACCAGATCCAAGAAGGCATCTTCCCAGGTGGGGCTGTGCACCTCCTGGGTTAGATGGAGGTCCTGTATCTCGGCTAGGAACCCACCCTACTTTTATCATTAGCCAACCTACCCAACACCTGTAACCCAGGTAACTGACACCAAAGTGACAGTGCTCCTTACTGAGTGACTATTCAGTATTTTGTTTAATACCTATTGCTCGCTGTGTGTCAGTTTTGAGTTGCTGTTATCCCTACTTTACAAATGGTAAACTGAAGCAGAGAAATTAAAGATCAAAAAAGTTTCTATTAATATTGGGTACCCAAATTAAGACGAGCAGGATCTATTTTTTTCTAGAGCACTTAGCATTACATAATACTTCATATGTTCTAAAAGATGGCCCCTACTGACTTCTGCTGCAGCTCTCAGGGCTCAGTTCATCTATGAGTGAGACCCAAACATCTCAAGTTGGGAACCCAGAAAAATGAAGCATGCAGAAACCCAGCTTTTTGCAGCAGCTCACCAGTAGCCAAGGATGGCACCAGTATGACATCGTGGCAGCAGTATGTCCTGCCTGGAATGACTCCCAGCACCCACTTGCATGTTTTGACATGTGGGACTATACCGGGGCAAGGGGGTCACTCTACAGCATACTGCTTCTGCTGCGTTCCAGACCACAGTACCCAACATGTTTGGCAGCAAGTCCAGAGATGTCCCATGAATGCATTTCCAGGTTTGGAGCATGTTTGCAGAAGCTGGTTGTTCTGGCCTGTGCAAGGGTATCCCAGTACCCAAGCTGTACAGTACGGTACAGATGTACCCTCAGCAACTTGCAGACTGGTATGGAATCTAGATCTCCAAGGCACCACTCAACAGCTTCTTCCTCTGCCTGCGATCCCCTGCGTTACTTACCACATGATTTCCAGCTTCCGCATGAAATGACAAGTATCCTTTACTAAACAACCCCACACCCGGTCTATCCTCTGCACCAATTTGGCCACGGGTCCAGCAGAAAACAGAATATTAATATGCATTAAAGACTGCATCACACTGCATATGCAAGAGGGCTAGATTCATGTTACACAGGCACACTGCACTCTTCCTAAGCTTTGCGTGCCTGATCTGCAGCATAACAATGTAGCATGGGTGTAATTGCCAAGTTTTTTTTAAAAAAAGCAAACTGTAAAAAATAAATTCCATCACGTGGCATCAAGACACCTCTCAATTCATTAGAAGTCAGAACTTTTAGGGTTTCCCTCCCTTAAAAATCTCTGAAGTACCAATAGTAGAAGAAGTAGGTAGTCATCCTCTATGGGAACCAGCAACAGAGGAAGATATGGTGCTTTGCCAATGAGTTTTACACCTGTTCACCGAAAAGGAATTGGGACATGGACAGGAATCTCTAGAGGCTCTAAAGAGGCAGGAAGTCTAGTAGGCACAGATTCTTCTGCCCACTCCCCATAAGAACGACCCCTTCTGCCACCCTCCAACTTATCCCTGTCTCAGTCCTGTGTTCTCAACTTCATTACATTCTTCTTAGTCTCAGTTTCTACTTCATTTTTCAGCCTACTCCCATGTTGCTTGCACAGCCAATCTGCCTCTCTCTTTATTCTCCATCCCCTAATAACTCCCAGCCCTCATTTTTCTTCCAGGCTCCTTGTTCACTTAATGCATCCCCCTTGATTCCCTGTCCTCCTGGCCAAGCTAGGCCCACTCTCTTCATCCCTTCCTTCCATATCTGTCCACAGGCCCCAGGAGAAAGCCACCTCTGACACAGATGTCACCCACTTGACAAATGCCAAGTCCCTGCTCTGTGGAGGTGTTCAAGTTGCTCAAAAGAGAGATTGAGAGATTGTAACATAGGCTAAATGATGCATGTTTCCTCTAGGCTAATTCTTGGAACTGGCTGAGACATTTTGCATGAAATTTTCCAAAATATTCAATCCACTCCTGGCCCCCAAAATGGAAAATTTCAACACAAATGGAGAAGGACTGACGAAGTTGTGAGCAACTGAAAACAGGATCCAATAATATTAAGTGTTACCAGTTTAGCCAATACCTTTTTTTTAACATTCACTCACACATACCTTATTGACTCCTGATTAAGTAATGGCCTGAGCTTCTTGAATTGCTTAAAGTTGATCAGTGTTTTAAAATGTTTCATAATAAGCAAGAATGTATAATTCTTCACTATATTATATTGGTCAATTAAAATCATTCAGAACATTTTTGTTAGTGGGTGTGTCTATACATGGCTGTACAGCAACATTGCTACAGCACTGTGTTTTACTACTGTACTTTCTTTTAGTACTTCCTTCCCTCCAAAAGGAAGCACTAACTAAGGCACGGTGCAGTGACTGCCCCTACTGTGCTGTGCATGCAGTGCATGATTAGATTTTGCTGCTACGCTGCCATAATGGTGCGCTACAACGGGGGAGCGCGGAACTATAGTAATATTACTGCCAATTACATGTAGACCCACGTAATCACTATGTTGCCATAGCACACCGTACAGCAACATAGCACATGTAAGGTACATAAAAGTGCTGTGTTTTTCAAAATGTAAGAATGGTATTTTACTGTGACAATGTAGTTAAGACTCAGAAGGGAATATAGATGCTATGCGAGTTATTGGTTTGAAACACATATATACCATCCCAGAGCAAGCAACAGCAATTATTAATAAAACCAAAAGCTGTGGAAATGACACTCCAAGTATTCTGAAAACTGCATTTTGGATGAATCCCTGATGCATAAACACAATGATTCCTATTCTAAAGCAATACCTGAGTCTTTTATTATTGATCAAAAGAGATAGCAGAGAAATTTATGACTGGTGCAGTAAGTATCGTTTCAACGAAGAGATGTTTAAGCACCAAGGTATGCACATATAGCATTTTTGCAGTGTTCCTTGTGTTAGATACAGAAATATTGCTAATGCCACAATTTAACTACTGCTGATGGTAAACATCTAGCTATTAGAAGCACTTCATGTTGACTAAGCCAATTTTCATCAACTTCTTTTTGCATGAATTAACTGCCAGATCAGTCATCAATACTGAAGACAGGCATTCTGGATTCCAGTCCAACTTTGGCCACTGACTTGCTGGAAACCCTTAAATGATTTAGTCATCAACCCCTTACATGATTCTCTTGAATGTGTACCATGGCTTCTGTTTTTGAGAATCTCACCACAGAAAACAAGACCTGAATGTCCATAATTCCCTGATGGTCAATGGGAGCTGTGAGCACTCAGCATCAGAGACTCTAGTCCCTGGAAAAACAGTGGACATTTTGGGGCCAGATCTTTCAAGGTTGTGGTTAATGGGTTGCACTGCATGACAGTCTGAGAGGGCTGATTATAATAGCTGTTGTTCCTTACCAGGAGACTGAGCGGTTTCTTGTCTCAGCCTGGAAAATGCAGTGGTGCTTGAATCTCTTAGCTTTTTCTTTCTGTCAGATAATTATTACTGATCCTCATAATTACATTTTAAGCCTTCTGGGATGCAGTTCATATGGAAGATGGTATTTTAAAATCAAGTTACATTACACAGTATTAAAAAAGTTGATTAATAGGAAGTATCTTTAGACCATCGGTACAAATGAAATAAAACACAAGGGGCCAGATTCCACAACATTGGCATAAGCGCCAAGTGGTCTGGTCCTGCTCATCAATAGAGCTCTTTGGACTTACGCTACAGTATCCAAGACCAGAATCAATCCAAAGTAGTAATTACATTAACGGAATGGAAATTCTGACATACAGGGCGTACAAAGAGAACTGCAGTCATGGCCAGATCTAGCTGAAAGAAATCTGGCTAGGTTTCAAACGAGACACATTGCCGAGGTATTAAGTTTTGAGAGAAGAATAAAAAGGATAACTCACTCTTGGAGTGCTACACAAACTCTGAACAACAAAAACAACAGGATTCCCAGAATTCTTGATAGCTTCAACTGCTTCCTCATGCGTGGCATTTTGTAAATCTACTCCCGACACCTAATAAACAGAATTCATTTTCATAAATTACTAAAAAGAACATATGCATTTATACACTGTGAAGTTCATAACATAGTGAAGTTAGCACAACAGGAGGAGTCAGCAAATAGTTTGCTCTATAGAAGCACACAATACTAATACTTTTTTAAAGAAGCAGGCATATTAAGGGTATAATATTCAGTGTTGATCATTAAAAGCACATTAATATCTTTACTCAGAACCATATTTTCATGTACAAGCGTCAGAAATAAAGTTAGAGAATATCTGGTATCACTAAAATCTTTTACTTTACCAAAGCATAAGCTAATTTGTATGTTGAAGTAATTTCCAAAACTATATCCGGGAAGAGAGCACATACATGAATGACCAGTTTTCTAGATTTTGGGGAGAACCATAACACAGCATACTATCCCCTGAAAGTAGCATATATGAAAATGAAATCCCCTCTCTCCCTGCCAAAGGAAACTATTAACACCTGAAGGATTCTACATGTAGTAGAGTACCCCATTGTACATGTAACCTAAAATTCATCTGATGGGGGAATCGCTGAAATCATGCAACTGTTACAGGAATAACTTATTAATGAATGCAACAGTTTATGAAGACATAATGTAAGCCAAGGAAATTTTCTGTTGTTTGATTCTAACTTTAAAAGATCCAATAATTAACTGCACCAAGACAGGATGTTAAAACAAGCAATTTATATACAAGAACTTAAAAAAAAACAAAAAAACCCCAGGATTTGATTGCACGCCTCAGAGTCCGATGTAATCAATGCCAAACCACTTTTCGCCCCAGAAAGTTCTTTGCATGTATGTTCCACTCTTAAGCAGGAAAACAGGTGTATATGCTTTTACCTCAAGTATTTTATCTCCTGTTTTAAGGGCCTTTGTTCTTCCAGCTGGACTGTCTTCCAGGACTTGTTTGATAAAGATGCCTTTAAGTTCCTCACCATTCTTTAGACGCTTTATGACGGTTTGACCACCAACAATACTGATTCCAAGAGACACATGAGGATCTCTACAGATTTCAACACTGTAAAAAGTAAACGGCACCAGATAATTCAAAAGCTTTAAATATACATGATTACTTAATATGCCAAACAGACAAATTCGACTTCTGAATTTTACCGATGTATTAGAATAATGTATGCAGAAATGTTTATTTTTCACATTTAGAACTTGGGCCCATCACTACCCTTTAGCTGAATTCATATCAATAGTAAAAAGTCTCTCATCGAGCCACTGTTACTCAAGTATACCAGTCAGAGGTCAGAAAGGACTCATGAAAGTCTCCTAAAGGTGATTACTTTATAGCAAAAGGTGATGTGCATTGGGCAATTACCTGTGCTGATATTTTATTCACGAATTATACTTAATCCACTGGTTTTTACATGGTTCTTAGGAAATACTCCAGGTAGCCAATGTATTTGTGGAGATGTAAAATGAAACTTAAGTAACCAATTCTGACACAGAAACCTCAACTGATTAAATGTCAGATAAGTTTACTGAAGGGAGTCAACTTTCATAGTGTAAATATTCACACAATTTCTATTCTATTTCAATGCCAGAAATAAAAAAACTATTCCGGCTATAGAACAGTATTAATCCAACAATTTAAACATTATGCAAATAGATGGGAATTATATTAAATTCAACACACTATTGACCAAGCCAAATTCTGCCAGTTCAGAATTATCCCATTAAGATTAGCAGAGTAACTTGTATATCAGAGAGCAATACAGATGAATAGTAACTTTCAACTCATCTGCAACGTGAAAGTTGGAAAGCTCTTTAAAAATCAACTGTATAAACAAAATATATAATCCTTTTCCACCAAATATCTTTTAAGAATACACAATATTTAATGAAGCCTGGAGCTTAACTACCTTAATACAATTCTAGAGCATTCTAAAATAAAAAAGTCCTTGAAAATAAGCCCACACAGAATAAAAAAAAGGTAAGGATTGTATATAAAAAAAACAAGCCACCCCTCCCCACCAACCCTCATGATTTCAAATCCCCAGGCATCAAATATTCCCAAAGCAGGAAAAAATAATATAAAAATGTCAACCTACATTCGGGCTGGTCCCCAGTGACTGAAATTTGGGGTTTCTTCTCCTTCTCCTTCTTCTCGCTCAGGTAATTCACTAATAGAAAGAGCAAACAAAACCACCAGTTCCACATCACAACCCCCACCCCCCCGACTACTGTCATAGCACAAGACATTTACAAAAGCCATTCTGACATATTCATAAGACTAGTTTTTTCCCTTGTATGCAAGATCATAAGTTGTCCTACAAGTCAAAATAAGATAGTGAAATCAAATTTAAATGCCTTTATGCAGTGGCTTAAATTGGTGTGTCTGTTTGTATTGTGTGTTATCACTCATTCTGCATGCCTATTTAGGCATACGGAAAGTTTTATTTACTGAGAATATGCTATAAATGATATGGATGTTGCACTGAAAGTCAATAATGGCAGACAAGTCTACCTACAGTGGAACTGGAGGAGCTGATTGGGAGCATTGAATGCAGTCCCGAAAAGCAGGATATCACCGGGACTTTGATCCCAAAAGCTTGCAGAAAAGGACAATTTTCTTGTGATTTCCCAGTTGGTCTAATAAAAGGTATCACTCTGGAACCAAGAGTTCTAGTTTTTTGTATGGATATCACCTGCTGCACTGTAACAGCTTTCACTGCAACACCTCAAAGAGAAGTTTAGAGGTGAAGACTGAACATCCGTGTAGTCAACGTTCTCAATACAGATCCACTAGCCAAACCCTTACCGAGGAGAACTGCAGGATCATTAGCTCACATGACATAGCTCCATTGGTGTCCTGCAGCCTGGCAGGTGAGGGTTCAGTACATCTGACTGCAGGACCATCTATAAAGTTCAGTGTACTCTAAAATTTGGTTTATTCAGTTGACTCTAAAGTTTGGTCTATGCAGGGGCAAAGGTTTGGCTTTGATGCATTCCAGGTATACACAGTTTACAGTGCACTGTGCTCTCCCAGTTAACTAACACAAAGCAAGAGGACAGAATTAAAAGAATTAATTGTAAATCATGCAATTCCCCCATACCTGGACAACACTGCTCTAAGCTGAGCAGCAATGGCAGCTTTCCCATGTTCCTGGTTCCTGGTAAGAGTATAACTCTCCACCTTCACCTCATCCCTGTCAGCAGCTTCAAACTCTTCAATTAACCCAGCTCTTTTTGAGTCATTATGAAGCCCTGTATCCAAACAGTAAAGCATCTTGATGTAAGTGTCTCTGTAGTGTTGTCATTTGCCAACAATACTCTCTACTAACTAAAATACTCGGAAATATCTCTCTCAAATCTGCCAAGACCCATATATAGGCTGCAATGAGTGACTAAGGCCCAAAACAATCATTTATGCAGACAAATTAGATGTCAGTGGGGCCTCCCTCCTGTTGAACAAATCATTTTCTCTACGTCCAGCTCTATGTTTTGGACAAACATATTTTTCAGTGGTAATATTTTTCAGGGATGCAAAATCTGTGTGAAACTTAGGTAAACTTTATGGAGTAGAATGCTCTTCGCAATAGGACACAAATGGAGAGAAGGGCTTAGAAACAAAGTAAGACACCATAAGCTTGAAGACAGAACTTGGAAAACAAACCCCTTGCACCTGTTTGGAACCTGCTGAAGTCACAGGGGGGACATCATTCATTTTGGTCTTGATCATGGGAGGATCCTCCAGGCAAAAAGGATGCAGCCAAATTCCCCTTGAATGTGTGGCACACGTACAGTGAAGACAGCTCATTGCGCATATGCTACCTACAACCAAAGGGGATGTGGCCACAACCCCCTCGTGAGCCTGGATGCAAGTGAGCTCTCAGAGCTCACTGGCATGTCAGCAGATCTCCTGCTGGGATCTCAATATGTGCTGTGAGCTTGGTGACCTAACCGGCCTCTTGGTATGGGGTCTGCTCAGAGCTCCTCCTTTCAAGCAGCTCCAGTGCCTGCTTCTGGAAACGTTAGGCCCTACCGCTGGTGTCCACAATGCTAAATCATCATCCTAACCCTGTCTAACCGTTAATTTGAATATTGCTGCAATGGAAAGAAGCATGTAAAAACTGTAGTGCGGAATAAACATGAACGTGAGATTGAAGCATAAAACACTTACAAATTTAAATCCAGTTTACCTTTTGTTACTGACTTGGTCATTTCAATATCAAACGTGCCTTTTGGACTGCTGCTTTCCGCTGCGCCTCCAGAAGACAGTGAATGTCTACTGAGATTTTCTTCATACTTCATGGAGGAGAAAAAAAAATTGCAATGAGAAAATCCTGGTTTTGACACCTAGAAAAGTGTTTAACTAACAGTGGTTTTATAGCAAACATACATATTTTTTCAATTACCTTCATATTTATTTTTTCAGGCAATTAAGAAACAGTAATTGCTCATTTAGGAAATAACATCAACAAGATGTGCGAAAAATTAAAATATAGATTGAACTTTGTGCCTTTCCACCTGGTTGCAATTTAGACAGAAAATGGGGGGAGCGGGGAAGGTTCTTTTTCATGTAAATTTATGGGAAATGAAGATACTTTAGACCCAATAGGATGTTCACAGGAAGGTGGATTTTGGCATCTTTTTATGCAAAAGACAGTGCAGGACCACAAGAAAGGCAAGCTCCAAGGTCTGTTCCTAGCTCCAATATATTAAATTCCTCTCTTGTTCAATTTCTTCATCTGAAAATGGACTTGTATTGGGAAAAGATGCATGACAAACCAAGTTTTCTCCTCCTATCTGGTGCACCAGAAAGAGGAAGAAAAAAATCCCTGAAGAAGGCCTCAGCGAATCTGAGGATGCTGTGTTGTTTCCTATGCTGTCTCACTGCCTCTCTTCCCCTACACATTATCATTTGTCTGTCACTATATCTTTTCCCTCATAATTTCCTAAACCATTGGTCTACTTCATCCTAGAGATAGCAACTGCCCTGAGAAGAACTACCGTTTAGATCTCTATGGACTTGTCTTCACTTCATTCACAGCATGATAGGCTTTGAAGGGATCAAGGGTTATCATCAGTCCCCTGTGTAAATGCAAGATTTTATTTGATGTTCCTAAACCAGGCCAAACAGATGCTTTTTCCAGCTTCTCCTTGAAAACCCCCAAATGAACTTTCATTGCTTTCCTAAGCAGCTGGTTTAACCATCATACTGCTTTTCCAGTCATAATTTTTTTCCCAAAAATGAATCTAAATTTGCTGTGCTGCAGTTTAAACCCAAGGCCTCTTTTCCTGCCCTCTGTCTAAAGCAGAGTATTTTTTCTCCCTCTCTCTTCCTTGAAATGTATGGCTGATTTTCAGATATCTGAAAACTGCTATTATTTTCCTCTTTCATCTTTTTTTCACCACATTAAATATATCTAGCTCCTCTTACGGCTTTTGTTCAACTCCTTTGTTGTCATTAGCACTTGCCTCTGGATCCTTTGCAATTTCTCTAAATCCTCCTTAATATTCAGTGCCAAAAAAATGGACATAGTACTCCAGCTGAGGCATAATCACCATCCAATAGAGTGGTACAATCATTTTGCATACAGTGGTTCTGTGACTGCAACCCAAAATTGCATTTGCTTTTTTTCCCTGACAACAACACACTGCTGACTCATGTGATCCACCATATAATCCCTAGTGATATTGCCAAGCCAATTATCCCTATTCTGTATTTGTGCACTCAGTTTTCCCCACCTGTTTTTGCGTAGCATCTGTTACCTACTATTCAGTTCTCCAACTTATTAAGGTTCCTTTCAATTTTTATTCTATCCTTCAAAGTGTTTGCAACAGTCTTGTGTCTGCAAATATGATTATTATTTTGTGTATTCCTGCACCCAAGTTATTACTACAAATGTTAAAACAATGACTCGGAGAAGACCCCAGTAGAACCACTTGAGACCTCCTGCCAATTTGCTATCAATCCATTAACAGATAATTTTTGCCTGCAGATATTCAACCAGTTACACATCCACCTCACGATGGTTCTATCTAGCCTGTATTTCTCTGTCTTACTTATGAAAATGGCATGTGGGACTGCATCAAAATTTAATAGAGTCCTGGGATATTATGTCCATTGAACTGCCCTTATCCATTAAACAAGTTAGCCTGTCAAAGGAGAAAATCAAGTTAGTTTTGCATAATTTGACATGCCAGTTCAAGTCAACACTGAGCAGTGAGCTCCTCCTGAGTTAGCCAGACCTTGAATGAGAGCAGTTGCACTGCAAATCAATACTTGAGTTTCACAGAAGATTTGCAGTTTGAGAAACTGCATCCTCACTGCATTGCTAGCCCCAGGGTCAGAGCCTTTTGGGTTTCAACAGGCCAGCTACTTCTGGTTTAGATCCCCGCTCCTTCACTCAAGCTGAGTATTTTTGCACGACTTTGTTCCTAGGGGATTCAAACCCATGACAAATCAGCACAGAAAGGGGAGTGGAGAGGAAGCGCAGAGTTGAAGGCAGGCCCAGCTGTGCAGAGGCTGGAGGGAAGAGGCAGTTGCAAAGGTGAGGCAAAGAAGTCAGGTTATTGCGATCTCTCTTTCATTGCAGCAGATGATGGAACCTGCGGGAACCTGAACCAGTGGCACAACCGGGGGGCATAAAGACAGGCATGGGTGCATCTAGAAAGGTTGGTCTCCCCAGGGGCACTGCAGGTGCCTGAAGCAAGTCCCCTGTCCCCCACCCCCTCTTCCCAACTGCTTGTTTCTATTTGTTGAGAGTGGAGGGCAAAAAAGGCCAACTACAGACATGCTGTGGGGAAGGAGGACAGTAGGTAACAGGAGAAATTACAGCCCTGCCCCATCCTGCCCCACAGTCAGGGGCCATGAAGGGCAGAGGGAGCTGTTTGGGAAGGGTTTTGAGGGGAAGGGTCTCCTAAGTGCTGATGCACCCCCTTTTCAAAATCCGGGATCTGTCCAGGGTTACAAGAGTCAAGCCAGGATCCACCTTTGGTATCGGCTAGCGAGTCCTGTGTCAATGCAGAGCTGGACTTCAACAGGACAGTGTACAAATAAAGTTGATCCTGAGGCATGATTGAGATGTAAGATACCATTTCTTACCATTTGCTCATCATCATATGGATACTGTGGGGTCTGATTAGCACTTGTGGTAAGTGTGGATCTTAATTCTTGTATTTCAGTTGGCTCAAGTAGCTTTACCCACTGTCCTGTAGGGCTGAGTTTCTCCTCTATAGGTAGAGTTGTTTCCTTTACATACGATGAGTTGTACCTAAAAATGTTCAAGTCCTCATCATACTCATCATCCACTAACATTTCCTGTTCTTCACCAGTTTCTTCTATTACAGGCTTCAGAAATTCATGCATTTCCCAGGATTCTCTCTCACTGTCCAATTCATTCTGAGGTAGCTGAAAGGACCTCCTCAAATCCAGAACTGGTTCATCAACAACTTCTTCTTTAAAGGGTGTTTCATCTCTAAAACCCTGCATAAAACATAATATAGATTTCACACCATATACCCTGCTAGCTCTCTTCGGGTTATGTTTTATGCTAGGCACATTTAAATTACCACCTCTGGTTTTTAAAACAGTACCTTCTAGCTTTCACACTTTACTAAAAGAAGCAATACCAGACCCCTAAAACTTGCTCTAAATTATTGGCTTTATACAGAAAATAGACACAGAAGTTTATTTTAAAGAAAGATGTGAAATTTGAAGCAGCTCAGCTATTGCTGGATCTGTACAAAAAGCAAATCTGAGTTAAAGTTGGAGAATGGGAACTGTGAGACAATATTTTTAAAGAACTACTGGAAAAAATCTAAGTAAATCTAATGCAAGTAGCACTCTACTCTGGACTTAATCTGCCATCCAAACATGAACACTTTTCAAAGTAAAAATCAGTCAAACAGGGATGCTTTCAGAAAGCCTCCGTATGAAACAGTGAGGGCACTCAAATACTCTCTCTGTTGCTCTCATTCTTTACAGTCATTCAATTAATAAAATGAATGAATCCCAAAGTTCAGAAACATATCAAACCTCTTACCTTGATTCTGAACCACTAAAGTATATCTGCCATGCAAGGGAAGGGTTAGCAGCAGGGTGGACAGCTGTACCGAAGGTAACACAGGGAATGAGAGCAGTAAAGATACAGCAACACAAGCTCCAGGAGCTGGGATACATATTTGGTGTCCTCACCAACAGGCTTGGTAAGCCAATACAGAAGTCTGTTCAACCCCCATCTTCTTTGTTAACCGTGCTAGCTAGCTCAAAAGTTCTCAGGTATGCCTGCGCACACTGCGATCACATCTTCCCCAGTAAAGTACACGTCAGTGACTCAGTGGGGCAGACATAACTGACTCTGGTGGATGGGATGTTGATTTTTAATGAAAGGACATCACAGAAATGAGAGGAAGGAGAAACATTTAACTCAAAAAAGTAACTGAACTCAAGGCAGGGGCCTGCCAACACCTATTTTAATTGTTTTGTGCAGATGAGTCTACAACCGCTAGCAAAGCTCACTCGCAATGAAACCCTGCCTTTTTGTCTCAGTAAGAGCACCAGTGTGTACCCTCTCCTACTGTACTCAAGACAGCTCTTCCCTAAACACTGAGCTAAAACCAATGAATTGTTACACTATTCTTCCTTTCTCCTCCCAAATTCATTGTGAATAGTTAATTTTTGTATTATTATATTACCTAGAAAACTTGTCAACACTGTAGAACCAAGATCCCATCAGACAAGGTACTGCGGGTACTATTCTACATCTATCGTGCATCTAAATGTGATCCAGCTCCACACTTCTCAAGTCCCCCCCAAAAACACTAACACATCTACCACGTTAGCCTTAGGATTAAGTCATAACGTATAGACAACAGGAGGAGCCAGCTATGCTTCGCATTAATGGATTTCAAGAACTCAAAGAGACTGGAAATAGTTCACACTTGGATACATATTCTAAGTAGAACAGAATCTGGCACTATACAACCAGAACAAGACAAGACATTAGTCCCCATCCCAAAGCAATCTAAGCAAAAGACAACAGATACATGCCGACAAATGGTGGAACAATGAGACAATACTGGTCAACAGCACATGTAGGGACAATTTTTTTTTTGTAGGTACTGGCACCCAATTGCCTACTGGGTCTGTTGCCTTGACTTGTCCCTCTAACTGGTATTACAGTTTTTTTTTAAATCTGGTTCTCTTAGGCTCTGCCTTGTTTCATTTCATTTTTCATGTCTTAACTATTTTGCCACTGTGTCCTGCACTGTCAAAGTGCAGGACACAGGGGCAAAGTACTAAAGACATCTGGCTGAAGCTCCAAAGGCACTAATTGGAATCCAGCTCAGGTTATGCACTGAAGGCAACCCTAGGCAACTCAGCCATAAATGAGTAGCTGGTCCCACTCAGGCAGCCAGATATAATGAAAGTTACCAGGACTGTGCGAAGCTTTGGTTCCCAGTTTGATTCAGAGGAGATTTGACCCAACTTGGTGGCCAAGACTCCAAATCCGAATAGAATCAGAGGACCCTTTAATCTTTCCAAATCGAATCAGAACCCTCCAAATTGATTCGGAGAGATTCAGAAAGATTCGGAGATTCAGACATACAGACAGCTTTAAATGTTTTTTCTACATACCTCTAGGTAGCAGGGGCTCGTGAGTGCTGTGATGCTGGGGCACATGGAGTGTCCCGCAGAAGCACAGGGGGCTCCCCAGTGCACTCAGCAGCAGACCCAGAAGTGGACCAGAAGCACTTCTGGTCTACTTCTGGGTCCGCTGGGAAGCACGTAGGGGATCCCCCCCCCACCCCAATTCAGTGACTGGTGTCTCCTGGGTCCCTGAGCTTGGGGGGGAGAAGTACTTTCGGTCCGCTTCCGGGTTCGCTCCTTGCGCCCCAGCATCACAGTGATCACGCGCTGTGCCTGCTACCTTGAGGCACGTAGAAAAAACATTAAAAGCTGTGTCTATGTCCAAATTGCTGATTCTCCAAATCAGCATCAAATCCTCAGATTTGGCCAAATCGAATCAGGGACAGTGATCCAAATCAATGAACTGAATCACTGTCCCTGATTTGGGCCGAATCCGAATCCAAATTGAATAGGGCCTGCTTCGCACACCCCTAATAGTTACTAATTACCTTGTGTGCTCATTGGTTGTAGGAACTGGTACAGCCTTAACCACACTAGTCCAATGGACTGTTCGATTTGGGCAGAGCACTATACTTTGTTACTGCATTGTTACATATGGTAGCAGACCAAACTCAGTAATGCATGCATATATATATATATAAACAAACTCAACCTTTTGTATATAATTTTTTTTTTCTTAGAAATTCCTGCACTGCAGTAACTGACTACAAATGGAATAGGAAATATTGAAACCACACTGGTAAAGTGCACTATCATAATGTTCAAAATGTTGAGTTTTTTTAAAGCTAATAACCTCCTGCCATTACTATATTGCCTCATAAAACACAGTACAAAATCCAACTACATTTTACTCCTTCCTTGAACTTGAAGATATAGCATATTAAGAGTATGGAAATTTTACAGTGCATCTGTGAGCTATTATTAAGTCATCATAAATAAGATGCAGCAAATACACTCAGCAGTATTTTAAACAAACTGACCATTTTGCCACTGATGCAACAGCAGTTTCAGTTGAAATACTTTTATTTAGGGGGGCTTAACTAATAATATTTTAACCAAAGGGAAAACAGAGAAACAGGTTGGTCTATCAGATCTTCCAGTGACTGCCCTACTACACCCAGCAACTACAAATAAATGGAATCGCATTACCATGTTGCATTTCAAGACCCTTTAGTTGCAGCGCTCAGTCCATATTTTTTTTATACAGTATATATATCCACCTCTTAAGTGGTATACACTATACTGTTTCTTTTATTATTTGGTCGTAGTTAAAGGCAAGATTAGGAACCAGGAAATCTAGGATTTAATTTGCCTCTGAAGAATTCTGTATGTGACGGTCCTTACCCTTGATTTCACAATCTTTAAGAATAATCCTTATAATGCCATGTTTCTTAGTGCAGTGTTGCTAAGGTTCATTCATTCATGGTTGTTAGGCATTTTGAAATCTTCAGGCAAAAGCAGCACAATATCAATCTCTCTCATTTTCAGGTACTTTATGGTCCCTTTTACCACTATAACTGAGCTCCTCCAGTCATCCATGGATTGGCACTTACTACACCAATGTGAGAATATAAAACGGGGAGAAGAGCATCTCTTTAAAAAGAACTGAGGCATGGAAAGATTAGAAGACTAGCCCAAGGCTGTACAGAAATTCTGACAGAGCAGTGACTCCTCTGCTACTGCCCTAACCACCAATCTTTTTTTTTACTTTAAAAAAGTCCTCATCCTTCCACATCCTTCCTCCTTCTCTCTCTCTCTTAGCCTCTTTCCCTGTTAATAGTAGAGCTAGTATTTCAAGGCATTATTCAAGGGAACACAAAGCATTTTAATATAATAAGTGAGACAGCATGATAGTTCAGTAACCGCGTAAGCAGGTATTATGTATGCATTAGCTCACAAGAAGACTCAGCCACTGGGGTCTATTGTAGAGGGAGAACATTAACCACAGAACATGTTTTATCCAAGACTTATTTCTGCCCCAATACTGCAGAGGGAAACCTTCTAATTGCCACCATGTCTGAAGGACACATCATTTTTTTAAATTATTATTTTAGAAACTTGATTTCTGCTTACATAAAAGTAAGTAGAATGAAGGGCAACAGCCAAATACCTGTGGTGCCTCAAGTATTACTGATGAATGAAAATCATCCCTGGGTGCTGGTGAGCCATAGCTGCCTTTGACAGTGCTGGGATCCATAGTGCAAGTGTTCTGTTTTTCATTGCTCTCTTCCTAGAAAGGCCATCAAATTTACATTAGCATTAAAATATTTTAAGGAAAGCAAAAAGGACCAGTATTCTTAAAATAAAAAGCAGGGACGTGTTGAGAAGTGGCAGAAAATAACCACAGAGGCCAAGGAGCCAGGGAAGGAAAAAGAAACCGAAAAGATAAAGACAGGCTTTCATAAAAATACAGAAAACAAAAAAAGAAAGGATTGGCTCAGAATATGTACAATGATACGTTTATAGAAAGGCCAGATTGTATTTAAGAACCTGGTTACTTTCACCTTTCACCACTCCTTTATCTGCATCTCTCTCCTAGCAGGTGCTGCTTTACTTTACAGGAATATACAGTCAAACTGCTGAAGAATGGAGCGGCAGTCTCAAATGAGCAGTCATAGTTGTTCTACGACCTCAATTCCAGAAAGAATCCTTGTACTTACCTTCAAGCATATGCCTACGTCTCACCCACTTCAACATTTGAACTTAAGTGCACTCTTCAGTGATGGACTTAAGCAAACGTTCAGCTGCTTTGCACACAGATTCCATTTATTCATGTCACCATCAGCATTACACAGAACAAGTTAAAATCAATCTTACCATCAAAGGTTTGCAGATGCCAAGGCGAACCATACCCAGGGGCACAGATTTCAACACTTCTACTGCCTCTGCTAGCGTACTGTTGTCCAAATATTTCTCATTTACAAAAACCAGGCGGTCTCCTGGTAGCAATTCACCCCCACGTTCAGCTACACCACCCGCTACCAGAGAGCTGATCACAATGGCGGTTCGTGTTGGATCTAAGGGATCCTGAAAAGACAACCACATGAAAAAAAGGCATACATATGGTATGTTATTTATTTTCAGTGGTCATCATCTATCATACACTCAGGAGCTCACACACACCAGTGGATTTGTCCTCTAAGACAAACCACCTTAACAACCTGAAAAGCGATTCTGCAGCATGCCAACAGGTTAATAAATCCAGATCCTGAGCTGGTTGATTTGTGCCTTCCCAAAGCAGTTCTTTCAAGTGAAGGAGAGGCCAAGCCAAGCTGCAGATGGAAAAGCAGCAGTGACTCTTGGCTCTTTCGCAGTCCTGCATTCCACCCAATTCTGATGTAAATCTACAGAAATAACCTCCCACTTTCTGCTTTGCAGGTCAATTAAAATGTATTTTAAAAACATCCTTCTTTATATTAGTTATGTACATTTGTAGACATTAATGTACCAGAAAGTATGGACATTCATTTAAAATGACAAAGTCCCTTCTCCCTAAAAGCTTTGCGGATATGGACAGATCAACATATTAAGAGGGGGAGTTAACTGAGTTAAGAGGGGGATTGCTGTGTACCAGCTGTTCCACAGTAATTACTTTGTGTATCTGCTCCTATCCCAAAGTAAGTAGATGCTAAATTGAGGCAGCTCGATTCTGAATGACACAGGGCCACAATCCTATGACAGGACAGAACTGGACAAAAACTGTTACTGTGAAACAGCTGATGCACAGTGATTTCCACTCACCTTCCTTTAATTCAGTATAATT